ACGTACTTTCGAAAGAACGGAGCCCAAGCCTGCATACGGGCGGATGATGCTTTTACAAAAGGGGGACAAAGACCTCTGATTTTCTGCACTTCTTTGTTGCGCATAGATGAAACAGTTGTCCCCTTGCTTTGTTTGCGGTCTTCACACATTGGGTGCTGGGTTTGAAATCCCGCGTAATCACCATGGCTGGATCCATTACCTTAAGCACCTTTTGTATTGACAGGCTCCTTGCTGTCTCTTCGTCAGTTTTGGTCGTCAGTATCTGACATTTCGAGACATTTAGTGGTAGGTCCCATTGTTCGGCCCATCTTTTTCTACCTCTATGTTCCTTTCTTGATCCTATCCAGCTATCTTGACGTCATCTGCATACAAGAGACACGGATTGTGGAGGTTCCGTGTTAGGTCTTTAATGTAGAGCAGGAACAGTAGTGGCTCAAGCACGGATCCTTTGGGTACACCGCTTGTGACCACCTCCTCCTAGGATGTGTGAGCTCCTCCTTTGACACTAAACGTCTGCTGCGCAAGAAAACCAATTATCCAGCTCCTGAATTTCCCATCTATTCCCAATAATTGCATCTTATGATTTAACAAATGGTGGCTGACCGAGTCGAACGCTTTCTGCAAGTCCAGATAGCATACCTCCATCGGTAGGCCTTCATCATTTCTGTGTGACCTCGTCTAGAAATACCAGCATATTTGTCAGACAAGTTCTATTTTCAACGACTCCGTGCTGAGCTGGTACCAATATCCCGCTATTGACCATGTAGTGGGAAATTAGCCCTCTAATCAGGCGCTCCAAACATCTACATATTACTGTCGTCAAACGTACTGGTCTGTAATTCTCGGCTTCGTACCGGAATCAAGNACTGTGGCTTCGCGCCAGTACTTCGGGACAGTTTCCAGTCTAAGCGACTCTTTAAATAACTCAAAGATCGGTCCCACTATGATGTCAGCCAGCGGTTGTATAATCGCTGGGTGAATTCCGTCAGGCCCCGCCGCCTTGAACCTATTGAGCCCGGTCAACTCCCGCTGCACATCCTGAATTTCCACAGTGATTGAAGGCATGGTGCCGTTACCTTCGATTGATGGAAGGTTGTCTGTCACCCTGGGGATCCTGTACGTGCTTTTGAAGAACTGCACCAGGATACGTGCTCTATCGCCTTCACACACTGCAAATTCTCCGGTCGACGATTCTAGAGTACCAAAAGTTTCCCCCCGGGGCTCCTCCTCGGTTATTGTCCTTATGTCTATAGGAGTTTTCGTGATCACTAGATCCAGTATGGACGACCTGTCATTTGCTATAAACTGATTAGTTTGTCTCATGTGTTGTGATAATGCATGCTGATGTAGCCATTCTAGAAGCAGTTCTTCTCCGGTACCTGCCAGTGCCCTGTCTCTATTCCAGTTGATCTCTGGCATGCTGAAGTCCCCTACTAACAACACCCTTCTGGATGTGGCAAGGAATAATTGCCAATGAGCAATCAATTCCTGATCTTCTGTAGCATTTGCCTGCGAAGCCCGGTAGGCGCACATGACGACCAATGCCTTTGTGTTTATTTTAACTACACAACTGGTGGCTTGTATGTTAGCAATCGCCAGGACTGCTGTTCCCTTCCACTGACTGTGATCTCACTGTATCATTATCAGAATATCTCCCTCTTGCTTGCCATTCATCCTATCTTGTCTATGAATTGTGCAGTCATCCATCCCCGGGGTGCTGTGGTGCTTCCGCATCCATGATTCAGTTATGGCCACGATGTCTGTACCTGGGGAGCACCGTCGCAACTCTCCCTACTTATCCCGTATGCTGCAAGCATTGATGTACCACACTGTAACTGTATCTGATTGAGCATGCCTGCTGTATCGGAAACTCGAGCGTAACGCCCAAGGGGTTACCGCTTTTTTGGCGCTTTGGGGGTTACGGTTCTGATGGTGGCTTCTTCCACTTTCCAAGCCATTCCACTTTTCTCCCTTGATATGATATGTCTATAACTGGCTCCGCGTAGTTATGCAGGAATAAATTCTTATTCCTTCCTAACGAAACTTAGCAAACTTTTTCAGCAACTTAAGTTCTCTCTCCATTTCCTCAATTCGTAGTGCCATTTCCCGGCTGATAAGGTGAATCTGAGGTCCGCCACCAGCAGTAGAGCACCACTCTTAAACCTATCCCCTGGACGACCGCAGCGATAAGCCTGAAATCCCGATGGGCGGAAACCCACAATTCAGACCTGAGCCAAGTCTCCATTATGGCGAGACAGTGCGTTTGGTCAGCCTCGGCCAAGAGCTCGGCCCACTTGTTCTTTAGGCTGCAGGCGTCAGCGTAGTAAACAATGAGAGCCTGTACCCTTTGGCCCCCCCATTGCTTTTGAGAGGTTGCAGCCGGTAGTTGCTCCTGGGTGACCTCCGACCTTTTTACCTCAGTCCAGTGGTAGCGTTTCCCTGTGGGTCCTCCGCCATATTGTGGTCTTCGTGCCCTAGAGATTCATCCCTCGGATCAAACCTGGGTGCAAGGGTCGTTTTCCTGCCCGGATTCTCGTGCTCCACTTTCGCTACGTTAACGAACAGGAGCTTGGTGTTAAATTGCTGTCTGCAGTTAGGTGGGGTCGTTGTGATGTGGTCGCGAGGGTAATCCGGCCCCATGGTCACCTGTCCTTCGGTCAACTTCCTCACATTGGCGAAAGCTGCCAACATCGGGTCACAAAAATGAGCGTCAATAATTACTGAAAACGGTTTACAGAAACCTGGTTTGTAAAATCCTTTAAAAAAAGATGTATCGAAGAAATTATACTATCAAACTGGTGTTCAAAGGTAAAGTAGTAAAAAGAATTGTACAGGTTGTCTTATAGTACTTTTTAACGCAACTCAGTGGAAATTGACGGAAAAAGTACCACGCAACCGAATTCGAACGTACCGCCAAGGTCAATACCGACAGTACCGTCAGTTTATTTCAGTGCTCACAGGACGAATTGTGGCTCCTGTCAATTGCGCGCCCGGTTCCTTGTGTTGTCGGCGGTTTCGTCGGCT